ACTACCTACCTAAATTAACACAAACAGAGGTAGAACAACTAAATAAACCCAAAACAAAAGAAGAGATTGAAAAGGTTACTAAAAAACTCCCAACAAAAAAAAGCCCTGGCCCGGATGGCTTCACTGGAGAATTCTACCAAACTTTCAGAGAAGAGATAACACCACTTCTACTAAAGGTATTTCAGAGCATACAAAAGGATGGACTACTCCCAAACTCATTCTATGAAGCCAGCATAACCCTGATACCAAAACCAGGGAAAGACACCACAAAAAAAGAAAATTACAGACAGATGTCCCTCATGACATTGACGCAAAAATCCTCAACAAAATTCTAGCCAATAGAATTCAGCAACATATCAAAAAAATAATTCACCATGACCAAGTGGGATGTATACCAGGTATGCAGGGATGGTTCAAGATTAGAAAAACAATCAATGTAATCAATCACATTAATAAAACAAAAGACAAGAACCACATGATCTTATCAATCAATGCAGAAAAGGCATTCGACAAAGTCCAACACCCATTTATGATAAAAACTCTCAATAAAATAGTAATAGAAAGGAAATTCCTCAATATCATTAAGGGCATTTATACAAAGCCAACAGAAATAACACTGGTCAAGAACCATGCCCTGAGGTGAAGTTTTTGTGAATCCATAGTGAAAATTTTTAATGATTAAAATCTGTCCAGAACTGAAAGAGTGAAAATCAGCTTGGACTGAAAAAGAAAAACCAGCCCTGCCATTTTCAGGCTGGGAGGTGGACACAGATAAATCCATTTGCAAAATTAACAGGAATCATTGTTTCTCCCAATGTCATGTAACAGTTATAAAATGCCATAACCATCCCTCTTTGAGTGACTATGCTTTTTCATCAATGACACCCCTAGCCCTCTCTGTTATACCCATCTTTTTTTTTTTCTTTTTTCTTTTTACATGCTGCTAACTCTGAAAGGTACGATCTTGTGTCCAGGTCATAGTAAACCTTTTTAGACAGTGACCTTCGAGAGGAACTGGACTATGCTCTGCCTACAGGATATTAAGTTACTGTTAAAGGCTCAGATATCCTAAGAAAAATACTGAAAGGGCCAACCCTTGGACTGTTCTAATAAAGTCTCAGAGCTAGGAATGGAGACTACAAATTATTGACATAACTACTAGGGGCCAGCACTCACGTGGTGATGGTGTTGAAGCCACCAGCCTTCAACTTCAGCAAGCGGTCCCTCCAGTACTCCCTGGGCACCCGGAAGTAGTGGATAGTGCCTGCTACAATCAGGAACGCAAAGCCATCTAGTGTGAAGTTTGAGCCCTTAACTTTCAGACCCTCAGTGCGGTGCTTCAGGTGCGAGGGGGTCAGATGAGTTTGATTAATCCTGCAAGGACAAAGGAGGCACATGAAGTCCTAGTGATATTGCCCAAGAGGTATGCAGGATGGGCAGATCAAGAAGGCCCTTCCTTCTAGTTCAATTGGCATAACACAGTTTATAAAGACAGTGTTCTACATTCTACCTTCATGAGTAGTGTCTGGGGTCTTAAAAGCCTGTGAGCGACCCTCTAAGATACTCCACTGGTGTCATCCCTTCGGGAGCAAGAGAGAATGAAGAGAACAGGATACAAGGAAAAGATCAGTCCAAAGGACTAATGGACCACAGTTACCAAGGCCTCCACCGGACTGAGTCCAGTACAGCTAGATGGTGCCCGGCTACGACCACTGACTCCTCTGACCAGGATCACAACAGACAGTTCTGGACAGAGCTGGAGAAGGAAGTAGAACATAATTCTAACTCACAAAAAAAAAAAAAACAAAAAACAGATTTACTGGCTTAAAGGAGACTGGAGAAACCCCGAGAGTATGGCCCTCAGACACCCTTTTAGCTCAGTGGTGAAATTATCTCTGAGGTTCACTGTTCAGCCTGGGAGTGGACAGCCCCGTTAAACCAAATGGGACTAATGAGTTACAGTAGTCCAGAGACAAGGGCCAGAAGGCAGAAGGGGACAAGGAAGCTGGTGATAGGGAACCCAAGGTTGAGTAAGGATATTGTTGATGTGTTGTGAGATTGTTAACCATTATCATAGGGCAACATGTGTAGTAACTGTTAAATGAGAAATTATTTTGTTCTGTAAGCCTTCATCTTAAGTGAGAATAGCAGCACAATTGGAAGAGCGTAGTCAATGTCACTGAACTATGCATGTAGAAATTTTTGAAATGGTGTACCTTTGGCTATGTGTATTTTCACCAAAAAAAATGGTTGAGTAGTTAGAGGGTTGACATGCTGTGGGGTTGTTAACCAATGTCATAAAACAATATGTGTACTACTGTTTCATGAGAAACTATTTGTTCTGTAAGCCTTCACCTGAAGTACAATACAAAAAAAAAAAAAAAAAAAAAAGAAGGCCCTGCCTTCAGAGGCCCTAGGTATACCTCCAGAGGAAGAGAAACCTTCCCTGGCCCTTCCCCGACAAACATACCTGGGCGAGAAGTTGTCTGTGAGCTGAGCCATCACTGATAAGGCTGAAGACAGGCACAGGATGCACTCTGGTCTCACCAGGAAGGCCCACATGCTAGCAGAAAGAACAGAGTAGGTATCAGAGAGACACAGACCAGGGAGGAAGGAGGGAGGGGGAGCTGAAGAAGCCCTGGCCTTGGAGAACGACAGAGGATACAGTGGCCCTGTTTGGAAGGCAGAATTCTGGAGCAGTTGTGCCACGGCCTATGCACCAAATAGAGCCATGACAGAGAGCACCCCAAGGCTGAGGCAGGGGCATTGGGAGGGTAAGAGGGGGACACTTACCTCCAGGCTAAAGTCCAAGGGGCGCCAGAGAGGGGTGGAATGACATTCCGAGGCACCACAAATATGAAAGTCACCTGACTGAGGCAGCCCGACAAGATGGGGGAAGGCATTTCTGCTGATGAGTTTCCGCTATTAACATCTATTCATCTTGAAATTGGGAGGGGGGCACAACTTAGAGAGTGCCCCTGGGCTCCTTACCCTCACTATTCCCCTGGGCCTAGGCCCCCACAGGTGTCTGAGAGAGGACCAGAGGGAGCACAGCTGCAGAGAAGAATCATCTGATAACTGGGCTCTCAGATTCCAGTTACTTTTTGGAGAAGATAAAGCCTCAATCAAAGAACAGTTTTGCAATACAAAGAATAATCTCAGGAACTTGCCAGTCACATTCAGTTCCTAAGGAATGAGCTGTCATCATTTACTATTTAGCAGAAGACCCTGAGGAAGATGTAGGAGTAATCCTCTGTAGTGGAGTTCCGATTTTTATCTCCAGCCCATGCTCCACTTCTCTGCTACTGTAGGACTCCATCTCATTAATTTCCAGAACACACCTTATGGTTTGTGCAGCCCATGATTTTCTTCATGCTGCACCTTGGGAGCAATGCTTTTCCCTTTATGCACCAAAACTTCTACCACTTGCTGGTGGACTGAGAGGGGGGTGAATACGGCCCAGCCAGCAGGCTGCATGGAACTGGAATGGGGGAAGAAGTATTCTCGCTTATGTCTGTGTCCCCACACCCAGAACAGTGCCTGAACCATAGCAGGTGGGCAATGATATTTTTTTGAACAAATGAATGAGTTGACAGACCCACTGAAATATCTGTCTTTTCCATAAGCTTCAGCTCTACCACCTGCTTAATAAATATTACCTTAGGAAGTTAAAGAAATCAGAGAAAAAGTAGAAGGGGAGCAGGGAGTTATGCAAAGGAAAGACTGGAGAGTAAAACAAAGGATTTGGGGAGTGGAGAGTGAAGGCACACCAGGCTCCTTACTGCGGGCTTCCCAAGAATCAAAGAAAAGGAGAATGAGTTCGAGAACTCTCAAGCAGGGATTCGCAGGGAGAAAACAGAAGGCCACGCAGTGGAACCTCCAGGAGGGCTTGAGGGGAGGGTCCTGGCGAAAAACACACGGAATATGAGCTGACCTCACTGAAAACTCAAGGCCGCTTGTCTACCTCGACCGGGCCAGAAGACCACGCGGGTGGGGAGCGGTGCGGGGGTCCAGGCCGTGGAGAGCGCCGGCTAGCATCCCTTACCTCGCGTGGGCGCTGGGCCGACACCATACGCCGCGGCTCCGGGTCTCCGTAACTGCCTTCGCCGAGCAGCTAGGTGGCTGCGCCGGGCAAGGGGCCCCGGACCCTGGGCTCCGCACCTCGTCGCCCCAGTGCTCCCGGCCCCAGGTGCGAGTCTCTGCAGCTGGAAGCGCGGGGGCAAGAGGGCCCGGGCGCACGGCAGCGAAACCCGGGGGTTCGCCCGCGTGTCAGCCGGCTTCGCTGCCCCGGGTCCCGTAGGCTGGCTTTGAACTTTCTGAGTGACACCAGTAAGTTTAGCCCGCCCTGCGCGTCCAGAATGCGCAGGACTTTCGCAAATCCTCCCGCTGACCCGCGGGGTAACCGACATCCTCATGTCTCTGTGACGGAAATCTGAGTCGGAAGGGCGTTGGTTTGGGTCCACGGTGACTCGGAGCGCTGTCTCTGCCCCGCTGTCACTCCGCTTTGTGCCTGCCCGGGGCCCTCCCCATCTCACGCAGCGCGACCCCGGGACCCAGCGTGGCCCGCGCGGAGAGGAGCCCCGCGCCGCCTGCGCCGCATCCAGACGGCGAGCCGGGCAGGGCCAGGCGGGGCGGCCTCTCCACGCGTGAGGCAGCCTCGCCCCGCGCGGCTTCACCGTCAGTTCACACCCAGAGCGCCCTGCGCTGGAGGCACAGATAATAGAGCAGGAATATATATCCCAGTCCCTCGAAGACTTACCCCCTGAGGTTTCTTTTACTGGATCCTAAAGCAAGTAACATGACTCAGGGAAGCGCAGTGGTGCCCAAAGTGTGGTCCCGACCAGCACAAGTGAAACGTGTCGGATGGGCAGATACTTGGTTGTACCGCAGACTGACAGAGTCTGGGACTGGAGGTGGGGCCAGCGTGCTGTGTTTTAACAAGCCCTCCAGGCGATTCTGCACGCTGAAGTTTGCGCACTAGCAGTCTCTTTCTCAGCGTTCTCTGCCGGAGGGCCTTCAGGGGAAGGGCAAGGATGGACAGGGGAGGGGTGAGGTTGATCATGGAGATAGCAGGCCTGTAGTTATGGGGGCCTTCTTTCTGCCTGGCCTGCTGCCGTTGCAGGCTCCTTCCTGGGTGGAGGGCCAATTCCATTTCAAATTCACACACCTGGATTGATACAAGCCAGATCTAGGCTCCAAGGGAAGTTAAACTTCCTCTTTATAGATACACAACACCATAATTACAAATAATTTTATTTTAAAAAATATTTTACTCTCCCGGGCAACATGGCACTATAGTCACAAGCACCACACCATCCCTATGCAGCAAAGATCTGAAAAACGAAGTCAAACAGAGTCACAACCGTCAATCCTGAAACCCTAAGCATCAAATGAAGAGATTAAAAAACTCAGCCAAGCACCGAATGGAATAAGAAACTGACCAAGAAAAGAGAGGGAGGAGAGATACCTGCAGAGGTCCCCTATCAGCTACTGCAGAGCGGATCCGCCATCTTGGACTCCTATTGAAGATCAGCGAACAGGGGGATTAGAAAGCACCTTCACTGAGCTTCCAGCAGGAGACAAAGAACCAGTAACCAGCGATATATGCTTTCCCACTCCCTCCACCCTTCTTCACCCCCAGTTAGCCTCCTCTGCTTCCTGCAGCCACAGTCTCTTGGCTGGGAAGCAACAGCTTCACCCTGGTGTCGCTTGGATTCCACCCGCCCGCACTGGCTGGCTCCAGAGTGCCTTTTGTTGGCTGCTGGTGTTGCTTTTTTCTGCTTCTTTAGATTTCTTCTTTACCTCTCACCACCTCGCCCTCCTTTCTCTCAAATACCTGGCTCCGTGGGCCATCTTTGCTTCTTCCTGAAAGGCTGCGAAACACTGCTCAACTGTGAAACTGCTTCCTGGCCATACTGCCTCACTGGTGGGACCCCGGGACTTTTAGTTTGTTTGCTCTGATTCGTTCTATTTTGATTTGTTTGTTTGTTTTCTTTTTCTTTTCTTGGCTTGGGAGCCCCTTCTAGCTGGGGAGTATCATGCGGATTGGAAGCTAGTCCCTTACTCTGTACAGACACACAGGGACATCTCTGGGGGCATTTCTTTTTTCTTCTTTTTTGGCTTTCTTTTGTTTTTTGTTTTTTTTGGTTATTTGTTTGTTTCTGTCTTTGTTTTGTTTTCATCTCTCTCTTATACCCATTTTGTCTTTCTTCATTTCCAGTTTCTCGATTTATTCATTTTTTTCTTTTACCATTTTTCTTTTTTTTTTTCATTTTTGTTTTTCCTCATTTCTCAGTATCTCGTCTCTCCACTCCAATAGCAATCTCCCTTAGCACACTTTTTTCTTTGTGTGTATGTTTTTGGCTCCTGTTCCCCTCCCCTCTCTCTGATCTTTCCCATACCCATCTTAGCTCCACACGTCAGAATCTACCCCCTCCTTCCTGCCTACGTGCACCATGCGCTGAACATCACACTCCCAAGCAGCACAGGCATGGCCTACTGGAACCTGCTTTGCACTGATTGCCGGCCCACACTGTCAGCCCCAGTACATGCCACAAACAACACATCCCAGCAACTCCCCTTCAGCTGGACTTGCCATGCTGTACCATACCTGAGTGACTGACCCTGCTCATTGGAGAAGAGGTGAAAAGTATCGTGCCCACAGACAAGCAAACAACAAAGAATGCACAGCCTGCCTGCTCAGACATAACAAAATAAAACAAAAAATCAGGACAAAACAAACAAATCTACAATTAATAAACGAGAAAAATAACCACTGAATGCCCTGAAGACAGCAGACAATATCAAAATATTTACAAAAAAAAAGACAGGATGGTTCCAGTAGGCATCCAAAATAAAACACCAGATGACCTTCCAGTAGAAGAAAAGTCACTAGACTTAACTGCTAGGGAATTCAAATCTCTAATATTCAGAATTATCCAAGAGTCGAAACAAAAAGCAGACAAAAATGAGGAACAAATAGACAAATTAATGGAAAAGGCAGACTAATTCATGGAAAATACAGACAAAAAAATGGAAGAATTCAAGAAAATAATACAGGAACAAAATGCTAAAGTAAATTCACAACTAGAAATCATACAAAAACAACAATTAGAAATCCAAAAGATAAACAACAAGATTTCAGAAATGGACAGTGTCATAGAAGGGCTGAGGAGCAGGTTTGAAATGATGGAAGATAGGATCAGCAAAATTAAAGACAAACACTTGGATATAACTCGGTTTGAGGAAAAATCAGAAAAGAAAAAAAAAAAAACAAAGAAAAATGAAGAAACCCTGAGAATTATGTGGCATACAATCAAAAGCAAAAATTTGTGAGTGATCAGAGTTCCAGAACAGGGGAGAAAACAGAAAACACATAGAGGATCATTGAAGAATTGCTGACAGAAAACTTCCCCAGTATAATGAAAGATGAAAAGCTGGCCATCCAAGAATCTCAATGAACCTCATATAGGATAGACCCCAAAAGAAAATCACCAAGGCATATCATAATCACACTCAGCAAAACCAAAGACAAACAAAGAATCCTGAGCAGCTCAAGAAAA